GCATGAGGCTGTGTTGACCTAGGGAAGGGGCATCTTGTTCTAAATACACAAAGGCACTCTATAAGCCAGTATGTCTCTCCCTGCGGCACAAGGAGGCCCAGGAAGCACAAGGAGGAGGCCAGGGCCCAGGGCCAATGGGGCTGTTCAAAACCCCGGTTCCAAGCCCCTGCTCGCTGACTTTTGAAAAAATCCTATGCTTGGTGCTTTGATTCCCCTATTACAAGCTGGAAAGTAGCTCGCCTGGTCTGGTGTACATTTTCTGTGAGCTGAGTTCGTGGGAGTCGGTTCCTGTGGACTGGTCATCTCTGGGTGCTGTGACATGTTCAGCGTCTGACCTGCAGGACCACCCTGCCCCCAGCAGCCCCTTGAACCCCATCTCCATCTCCCTGTTGCCCTCTGCTAATATATTTATCCTCCCAAGGCCCTCAGTGAGGACCGCAAAGGAGTCTCCTCTCCCTTCTCCTCCCCTCTTCCCACCCTGTCTCAGCACCAGCCTCCCTCCCAAGCAAATGTCTTTCCGGACTCTGCGATGTGAGGATAATGGATAATATCCATTATCCACCATGGATATCTAGCATTTTTTTTTAATTTGTTTGGATCCCACTTTATTTCAAAATAATTTTAGGCTGCTGGTAGGAGTAAGCACACCCCCGTCTAACTCATGAGACTATTGTAAAAATTAAATGTGGAAAATTATCAAACACAATACAGGTGTGATGTTGTTGCTGTTTTTCTCCAAAAGGACTTAGCCCACCCTTCTCTGGCGCCCCGGTGGAGTTGCCGATGGTAACTCCATGATTTTCCAAGTCCTCTGGGCTGACCTCAGGCATGATGTATGATTGTGTCCTCCCCCACTGGCGTCCACTATGGCTTATAAGTTCCACGGATGAGCCGAGGGTTTTCTGTGTGCTGGTCAGTCTGCTAAGAGCTTTAAATGCCGTATTGAATATCAACTCAGTAGACCCTTGTGTCCCCATTTTTTAAAAGATTTTATTTAGGGCGCCTGGGTGGCTCAGTCATTAAGCGTCTGCCTTCAGCTCAGGTCATGATCCCACGGTCCTGGGATCGAGCCCCACATCAGGTTCCTTGCTCCGCGGGGAGCCTGCTTCTCCCTCTGCCTGCCACTCCCCCTGCTTGTGTTCCCTCTCTCGCTATGTCTCTCTCTGTCAAATAAATAAATAAAATCTTTTAAAAAAAAAAGATTTTATTTATTTGAGAGAGTGCGCGCATGTGCATGAGTGGGGGGGAGGCCAGAGGGAGAGAGCAGACTCCCCACTGAGCAAGGGGCTCCATCCCAGGACCCCTAGATCATGACCTGAGCCGAAGTCAGACGCTTAAGCAACTGAGCCACCCAGGCGCCCCACCCCCATTTTATAGGTAAGAGAACTGAAGCTCAGAATTCATAAAATTTACCCAAGATCTCACAGGTAACAAATGAAAGAGCTGTACCCTGAAATGGTGATTTTACCCCAGGGAACACGGACTCCGAGGCCTCCCTGGCAGTGCGTGGACTGGGTCAGGTGTAAGGCAACGGGGGATGCGGGTGGCTTGTGGCAACTGGAGCACCTATCTGGGGCATTCACGTTCCCAATCTTTTTTCCGGCCATCCCAGCCAAGACACAGTGGCCACTTCCGCCACCCTTGAATCAAGCACTAGTCCTAACTGCCTCCCCGAGAAAGCTGCTCTCCATGCCTGCCACCAGCCCGCAGGTCCTCATCACTCATACCTGGGAGGCTGCAGGAGCCTCCTCCATGGCCTTTCTGCCTCCAGCCCCTATTCTCCAGAGCCAGACACCATCCTTCCCCCGAGCACCCAGTCCTGCAGAGACCAAGCCCCCACTGGCCCACCGCAGGGACCATCACAGAGTGCAAGGAGCAAGGACTTTGCAGCCTGAAGGTTCTGGGTTCAAGTATCAGCTTTGCTATTTGCTAGCTGGGTCCTCTTAGGTAAGTTACTTCACCTCCTTGGCCCTCAGTTTTCTCGAGAAGGAGCATCATGATGACGGCCAGCATGCAGTCCTTAGGCGCGCTAGATGCATTTATAATTGTGAAGAGTTCAGCCCAGTGCCAGCCCAGTATGTGTTCACCCCGCTGGTAGACACACAAGGCGGTAAACAGGTTGGTACTCTCGCCCCTTCTTGTTTCACTGCCAAACCTGGGAAGTCAGGGAGGATTGTGGACTTGCCCAGCTAATAAATGAAACATTCAGCTTCCAAATCCAGGGCAGTTTCTCATCTGCAAGATGGAGACCGAACCTCCAGCTACGCCCGGTCTGGCGTCCACCTAGAGAAGACACCGTGCATACAGCAGGGGCAGGTGCTCTGAACCTACGCTGCCTACTTAGGGAGGCAGGAGGGCCAAGGACCGGCTAGAGCAGAAGCTGAGCTCATCCCCAGACCCCCAGCAGGCCTGCAGGGCAGGGCCATTTTCAGCCCTTTACAGAACTTGCATCTGATTCTCAGAGGCCACCCCCCGCCCATCACAACAAACTAAAACGCACTCACATCCCTCATCAGATATAACATTTCTTTGCTTTAAATGTAAAAGGGCTTTTATAAATTTGCTTTTGAAATTACTTGACTATGAATAAGTCATTTAATTTACTCTTGGCTATGATTTCTCTTCAATCGTTCTGCATATCCTAGAACTCTTGACAAAAATCCAACTTACAGATTGTTTTCAAATATAATGACATTTGTATGGATACCAAACTTAAGGGATATTAAAGTTGACATGCTACTTTCTGAAAGCATTTGATTAAACCTTCACTATTTTGATGCAGTCTATTTCATATTTTGCGGCCCCCAAAACTTTTCTTTTAGGGCTCTGACATTTCCCAGGCCTTAAAAGCCCTCCCTGGGCCCTGGGTAGGTGGGTTTGCTCCCAGAGCCAGGGCACCTGGGGTCTTCCGGTCTCCAGACCCTATGGCCGCCCCTGCACATCCCGCTGCAGGAATACCCACCCCAGACTGTCCGGGGCATCCTAACTGGTCAACTTTATTCTCATCTTGAAGACAAAATGATTTGCCAAATGTTGGGTTAAATGTGATTTAATACTTAAGCCTTCACTGGAGTTTCAGAGAAATGAATTTACAAATGAGGCAATACTTTGATGGGGCGAATGTTCTGACATAGGGGTTGGAAATTAGGTTGACTGTCGTCCTAACCAAACCCTACCACCCCCTTCCCATGTGGGGGCACGGCCAGGACCCACCCCTCCTCTCAACCCCCCCCGGAAGGGCCACTGGGAAGATGAAAGTTTTGTGACTGGCCAGGAACTGTCCCCCAGTGTAGACTTCATTGAGGGCCGTCCCTGCAGGGCAGACTGGATGACGTGGGTATTGCACCCTGGGCTTTATTATTATTATTATTTTGGTGGGGGTCTTTCAAAGCAGACCAGTTTTTTTGTTTTTGTTTTTTATATGCCCATCGGGCTCAAACTCAAGACCCTGAGATCAAGAGTTGCATGCTCTACCGACTGAGCCAGCCAGGGGCACCTAAAGCAGATCAGTTGTTTGTTTGTTTTTTTAAGATTTATTTATTTGAGAGAGAGAGCATGTGCACCTCTGCATGCACACAGGTGGGGAAGGGGCAGAGGGGGAGAGAGAATCTCAAGCAGACCCCGAACTGAGTGAGGAGCCTGATGCGGGGCTCGATCTCACAACCCTGAGATCATGACCCGAGCCGAAATCAAGAGTTGGATGCTGAACGGACTGAGCCACCCCGGCGCCCCACAGACCAGTTTTTTAAATTCCCTCTGCTGCCCACCATTATTCACCTCTAACTCCACACAAGAGGCAGAAACCCCAGCTCCCGACTACTACTACGGAGAAGAGGAACGGCAGGTGCCTCCCTCACGCAGATGTCCGCACACACCTGTGAAGCAGGGTGTCAGGAGGGGCATGATGTGATGCCAAGAAAAGGGAAGCAAGTGGCAGGACCGCATGGGAAGCTTTGGGGAGGTAGGGGGCAAGGAAAGGACTTTAAGCTCGGCTTACATATTTCCATTCATTTCTATTGATAAGCAATAAAATATATGTATAATACATTTATATATATATTTTCTTGGACCTGATCCAAGAATCTTGGGCTTGGTCACTTCACTCATGAGCATCTAGACTGGGGGAATATATCCGTGAAGCCTGTAAAGATAATACTAGCTACTACTTATTTTTTTAAATATTTTATTTATTTACTTGAGAGAGAGAGAGAGAATGAGTGGGGAGGGGCAGAGGGGCAGAAGCAGGCTTCCCGCTGAGCAGGGAGCCCGATGCGGGGCTCGATCCCAGGACCCTGGGATCATGACCTAAGCCGAAAGCAGACGCTTAACCGACTGAGCACCCAGGCACCCCCCTAGCTACTACTTATTGAGCACTTAATACTTTATATCCGGAGATGGGATTGACTGAATGAATCCAAAATCACCCTGTGAGGACAGTGCTATTATTATTCCCATAAAATGGGTGAGGACCTAGAGGCACAGAGAGGGGAAGTAGCTTGCCCAAGGTCACACAGCCAGATAACAGTGAAGTCAAAATGCAACCCCCGGCCGTCTGATTCCAGAGCCACGATGGAATCACATTAGCCATGACATTAGGCCATAGTCATTCTTAACAACGAGCGTGATGGTAAATGATGGTGAGGTTTACCACGGGACAGCGCACAGTAATTAAAATGTGTACAGGCATACCTCGTTTTACTGTGTTTTGCTTTATCGCACTTCGCAGATACTGGTTTTTCACAAACTAAAGGTTTGTGGCGACCCTGCCTCAAGCAAGTCTATCATTGCCATTTTTCCAAAAGCTTTTGCTCATTTGTATCTCTGTGTCCCACTTTGGTACTTCTCACAATTTTTGAAACTTTTTTTTTTGAGAGCGAGCACGCGTGCACATGCGTGAGCAGGTGGGGAGGGGCAGAGGGAGAGACTCTTAAGCAGGCTCTATGCTCACCACGGAGCCCAACTTGGGGCTCCATCTCACGACCCCGAGATCATGACCTGAGCCCAAACCAAGAGTCGGAAGCTTAACCGACTGCGCCACCCAGGCGCCCCTAAATTTTTTCATTATTATTTGTCATCTCTGTGACCAGTGATCTTTGTGTCACTACTGTAATTGTCTGAAGGCATCACAATCCACACCCATAGAAGATGACAAACAATAAATGTGTGCGTTCTGACTACTCCACCCACCAGCCTTTCCCAGCGCTCTCCCTTCTCCCTGAGACGCAACAATATTGGAATTAGACCAGTTAACAACCCTACAAGGGCCTCTAAGTGTTCAAAAAAGTTGCACGTCTCACACCTTAAATCATAAGCTAGAAATGATTAAGCTTAGTGAAGAAGGCATGTCAAAAGCCAAGACAGGCTGAAAGCTAGGCTTCTTACGCCTATTAGCAAGTTGTGCGTGCAAAGGAAAAAGTTCCTGGAGGAAATTAAAAGTGCTGCTACAGTGAGCACACGAGTGATAAGAAAGCAAAACAGCCTTAAAAAAGAAAAAAAGCAAGCAAGCCAAACAGCCTTATTGCAGATATGGAGAAAGCTGTAGTGATCTGGATAGAAGATCAAACCAGCCACAACATTCCCTTTCGCCAAAGCCTATAGGGGCTAATGCAGCTGGTGACTTTAAGTGGAAGCCAGTGCTCATTTATCATTCCGAAGGCCCTAGGGCCCTTGAGAATTAGGCTAATCTACTCTGTGCTCTATCAGTGGAACAACAAAGCCTGGATGACAGCACATCTGTTTACAACATGGTTTTCTGAATATTTTAAGCCCACTGTTGAGACCTGCTACTCAGAAAAAAAAAAAAAAATTCCTGTCATAATATGACTGCTCACTGGCAAAGCACCTGCTCACCCAGGAGCTCTGACGGAGACGTGCAACGAGACTCATGTGGGCTTCGTGCCTCCCGACACAGGACCTATTCAGCAGCCCGGGCACCAAGCAGTCATTTCCATTGTCAAGTCGTATTATTTAAGGATTGCATCTCGTAAGGCTGTAGCTGCTGCAGCTAGTAATTCCTCTGATGGGCCTGAGCAAAGTACACGGAAATCTTCTGGAAAGGATTCACTCTTCTAGGTGCCATTAAGACTATTTGTAATTCACGGGAAGAGGTCACGGTATCAACATGAACAGGAGTTTGGAAGAAGTGGAATCCAGCCCTCACGGAGGACTTTGAGGGGTTCCAGACTTCAGTGGAGGAAGAAACTGCAGATACGGTGGAAACAGCAAGAGAGCTAGAATGAGAAGTGGAGCCTGAAGATGAGAATGGATTGCTGCAATCTCATGATCAAACAGGAATAGATGAGGAACTGCTTCTTTTGAATGAGTAAAGAAAGTGGTTTCCTGAGATGGAATCTATGCCTGGTGAAGATTATGTGAAGACTGTTGAACTGACAACAGAGGATTTAGAATAGCACAAAAACTTAGTTGATAAAACAGCAGCAGGGGAGGGGAGCCCGGGTGGCTCAGTTAAGCGACTTTTGATTTCGGCTCAGGTCATGATCTCAGGGTCGTGAGAGCAAGCCCTGCATTGGGCATGGGACTCCACCGTATGGGGTCTGCTTGAGATTCTCTCCCTCTCTGCCCCTCCCCCTGCTCGCACTCTCTCTCTCTCTCTCTCTCTCTCAATAAATAAATAAATAAAATCTTTAGGAAAAAAAAAAGCAACAGGTTTTGAGAGGACTGACTCCCAATTTTGAAAGAAGTTCAACTGTGGGTAAAATGCTATCAAACAGCACCGCTTGCTACAGAAAAATGGGAGAAATTGTTTGTGAAAGGAAGAGTCAAATCAATGCGGCAAACTTCACTGTTGTCTTAGTAGAAGAAATTGCCACAGCCACCCGAGCCTTCAGCAGCTACCACCCTGATCAGTCAGCAGCCCTCCATGTCCAGGCAAGACCCTCCACCAGCAAAAAGATGACAACTTGCTGAGAAGTTCAGGTGATGGTTAGCATTTTTTTAGCAATAAAGTTTTTTTTTTTAATTAAGGTATGCGTTGTTTTTATATATATGCCATTTTATTTTTTACATACTTTATACATATGCTACATCTTAGACAGAATGTTATTGCATACTTAATAGACCGTAGTAGAGTGTAAACAGAAGTTTTCTACACACTGGGAAACCAAAAAGTAATTCGACTCACTTTATTGTGATATCCGCTTCCTTGAGGTGGTCTGGAACCCAACCTGCAATCTCCCTGAGGTATGCCTGTATTTATAAAGGATATTTTAATGAAATGGGGAAGGACTCACGTTCAAATATCTTAGGAACACAAAATTATACATATATGATCTCAACTCAAAAATGCCTTCTTAGAAAAGAGCTGAAAGGAATATATACATATGTATTTAAGATCTGTAAGGGGGTGCCTGGATGGCCCAGTTAGGCGTCTGGCTCTTGATTTCAGTTCAGGTCATGATCTCGGGGTCATGGGATTGAGCCCCACGTCAGGTTCCGCACCAGGTGTGGAGCCTGCTTAAGATTCTCTCCCTCTCCCTCTGCCCCTACCCACGCTGTTTCTCTAAAAATATATATATAAATCAAAATAAAATAAAATATATAAACATATCTGACATGCAGATGATCAGCAAATAGTTGTTGAAACTGGTGGACTGTGAGTGGGCTTTTTTCTTCCCATTTTTCTAGTTTCCAAATTTCTCTAAATGAAAATTATTTTCTTTTCAGACAGGAAAAACTATCAGGCCTTACCATTGTCAAATTATTTGCTCTCAGTAAATGCTTAAAAGAGAAATTTCTGAGAAACTAAAAAACCAGGAGCAAGTCGTTTTTTTAAAAGAGGGAGAGGTTGCTAAGAAACTCTTTAAATTGGTCATCTCCTGAGGGCTAGGCCTCAGCACACACTGAGAACGTTACAAAGGATGAGAACATGGGATGGATCCTGTTGTATGGAAAAGCCGAGTTCCTTGGGCAGACGAGGCTCGGGGTGGGGGTGGGAAGCCCTGGGTTGTGAGCCCCCTGCCTTCCAATCCCCACCTGCTCCTCCTGGGGCTGTTTCCCGAGCCAGAAACCAGCCAGCATGGTACAATCTCTTGCTCAGCATTCTGCTCTCACGTGTGGTTTTAGCATCTGTAAATGGCTAGAATGAATTTGTGAGTGATGCCTTCTGGAGACGGATGGAGCCCTGGTCTTGGCCAGGCACGAGCCTAGTGGCTAGCGACCCTCAGGAGGGCTTCCGCCCAGGGGTGCTGGTGAGATGCCCGTGTGCGGTCTGCCAGGGAGAGGCGGGGCTGGGCAGAGCAGGCTGACAGGAGGGGAGGAAGCCAGCTTCCCGCTCCCTCACCGGGCCCTCGATTACTCACGCTCCTGCTGTCCCAGGGCTAATTGTTTCTGAAGCGCCAGCCCATCCATCGCCCCACTCAGCAGCCGCAGGCTTCTCTGTCACCAACCCAAGACCCTGCACAGCACAGGTCACATTCCACTTTTCTCCTTTACTCCGGCAGCACACTGCAGCAACTTCTATGTCGAAGGAGGTGGTCCGGAGATTATGCATGGAACATGGACCAGAGCCAAGTCACTTAGGTGCCTGGGGGGCTCAGTCCTTAAGCGTCTGCCTTTGGCTCAGGTCATGATCCCAGGGTCCTAGGATTGAGCCCCGCATCGGGCTCCCGGCTCAGTGGGGAGTCTGCTTCTCCCTCTGCCACTCCCCCTGCTTGTGCTCTCTTTCTCTCTCTCGCTCTCTCTCTCACACGTGTGTGCAAAAATAAATAAAATCTTAAAAAAAAAGCCTGATATCCCAAGTTTGAGAACCACTGGCCTCAGGTCTGCTTGTAAGTGCAAATTCCCACATTTACCCAGCTGTCCCGAGAGGCTGGAAGTGAGGCAGTAGGAGACGCAAGGGATGCTAGTCCTCAAACTGGTATGACAGGAATGTGCCCCAGACCTGGGGCCAAGTGCCCACTTCAGAAGGGGCAGACAGGACAAGGGCCTGGGGCAGCAGATGCATCCCTGGTGGGCCTCTCCTCTCACCCAGCTTCCATAGTCCGTTTCTGCATTCACAAACACACATCAGCCAAGCCCAGTCACTCCCCTTAGGATCTGCTCCACCTCTAGCCACAGTGCTCCAGGATCCACGCTCCGCCACCGCCCCCATGGCTCTCCCTCTCCAAACAGAGATCCCACCTGCCTCATTACTTAAATAATCTTTATTTCTCATGCACTAGGAAAGATGGGATTGTATGAAACACTGCATTTCACAGCAAAGGCCTCAGTCCAAAACACAACACAGGGGACCAGGTGGATTCAGGTCTGGCCAAAACTCTGGGGACCATCGTGGGGCTACCACCCCCAGGGCTGGTGACAGATTCAGGACCCTCCAGCTGTAGTGGCCCCAGACACAACACAGGGCAGCTACCCCCTCCCACAGAGGCACAGGAAGCTGACATCAGAAGAGCATGTGGACCAGAGAAAGGACGGAGGAGGCTGCCAGGCAGTGACGTGGTGGAGGCGGTGGTCCAGCGCCGCCGAGGCCCAAGTCCAGGCCGCCAGGGTTGTGACTGAGCTCTCCGCCCAGCTATGCTCACTGGAACTGCGGGAGTGCCACAGACCCCCGGCAGATACACACGGGCCCCACCTGCCTGCTCCTCAGCCGCACACACAAGACGACATCTGCCCAGATGGGACCCCAAAGGCTAGAGGGGCCAGTCCCCCTCAACCATCCCTAGCCCCTGTGGACACTTAGACGCCCACCGGACAGCCAAGCTTCAGAGGTTCCTGGGACAGGGCCATGGGCAGGGCAACCAGCAAACCTGGGCCATCAGGTACCATCCGAGCCAAGACAAGAGCAAAGCAGATTCTGGGCACCACTTTCCTGGAGGTGGCACTGGGACAGATACAGGTTGGAGACATGCGGGACAGAACGAAGAAGAACGGACACATGCAGACGTGACAGGGCGGGAGGGGTCTGAGGATAAAACGTGGTCAAGGTGCTGAGCTGCGGGGGACACAGTGGGCCGGGCTCACTGAGGTCCCGGGCTTGTCGTGACCCCGCTCTCCTCGGGGATGGTCTCCAGCATCTCACTCTGGACAGCCTGTGTGATGAGAGCCAGCTCCTGGCACAGAGTCTCATAGCGGTAGCCCACACGGATGTCCGGCACGTTCGTACGGCGGATATCATTGCCCTCGGGGCCCTCCTTGGTATAGTTGGGTCCCAGCCAGTGGCTCTTCACCTGCAGTGGGCAGGGGGATCAGACAGGGCCGCAGCTAGCTTTGAGGCGCCACGCCCCAGGCCTGAACCATCCCAGGGCCAGCACGCAGAGGAGAGGAGAGGGTGGACACCAGGCTCCAGGTGGGTGGGGGTGGTACCTTGTGGGAGAAGCCGCTCATGAGCACGCTGTTGCGGGCCAGCTCACACATGTCGCAGGAGCTGAGCTTCCACACCTGCGTGGCGATGCTGTACTCCTCCATCAGTGGCTCCTGCGCAGGCCAGGTGCCCTCAGACGGGGCGGCCCTGCCACCCAGTCCCCGCCCACCTGTCCTTGCACGCCGCCCCTCCTCGGCAGGATGGCAGGATTTGCCCCAGGACGTGCTGCACTCCACCAGCAGGTGGCAGCACCAGCGCCAAGCCCCAGGGGCCTGGGTGCCTTGGGCGTCCCAGGACCACCAGCGGCCGGGTTCTGACCTTGGTGAAGTGGAACTGCAGGGGATCATCAGTGGACAGGGAGACCATGAGCCCGCGGGACAGGTACTCGGGGAGCGGGTTCCGGTGGTAGCTGAGGAAGAGGCTGTTGTTGCTGAGAGGAGACATGGCGATGCCAATCTGGGCCAGGTAATACAGGTACTGCAGGACTGGGGCCTGCATGGGCAGCGGGGAGGGGCCTGTCAGGCGGCCTCAAGGCTGGGGAGGACACCTGGCTCTGGGGGGTGCAGGCCACAGTGGAGAGGGCGGGGAGCCCAGCCTCGGCCTCACGTACAGAGGGTCATTTACAGCCAAGATCCAAGCGAGGGCCGCAGTGTGGAGGCTGGGCTGTGCAGGGGTCCAAACTGGGGGTTTGGTGAGGAGGGAGACCAGTTACTGAAGAGGCTCGAAGGGTTGAAAGGGAGGTGAGCGATCGGGAGGGGAGGCTGGGGGTGCAGGCCCTGACCTTGCGCAGAAGCAGCCCGTGAGAAATGTTCTCGGCCAGCATGAAGGCCGACACCAGGTGGTGGATGGGCCCCGCTTCCCCACAGTGTGGCCTCAGCACAAACGTGTGGAAGCCCCTCTGCCTGGGGGCAGAAAGATAGCGTCAGCTCCCCAGCCCGGGCTCCCGAGCCCCCCGCCCGGTGGCCACCTGGACCTGGGACAAAGCGCCAGGGGCAGATTCTTGGCTGTGAGGGGTGAGCCCGGAAAGAACTCCCTGGGTCCGGGAGTGGGAGCAAGGGGTGGGTCGGGGCTCCGGCGGCCCCAGGACAGGGCAGCAGAGTCACCACACCGGAGGAACAGGCACCTGCGCAGGTGGTTCAGCATGGCCATGTTGACAAAGGTGTAGTACAGGTAGTAGGCATAGGGTGGGTTGTCCTCCTCCACCCAAGCCTTGGGGAGAGGGCTCTCCAGGTTGAAGACGTGATTCTCGGGCTTAGACTCATCGTCCACGCTGTCGAAGCCATCCACCTGGCCCGGGATGCTGGGGTCAGGCCCGGTGCTGCAGCGGCCCCTGACGCAGGCCGCCCTCCCCCTCCCCTGCCCTGTGCAGCCCCCTCACGTGCTCCAAGAAGAGGTGCAGCTCCGGGTGGCTGGCAGGGTGCACGGTGGCCTCAAACAGTGGCAGGAAGATGTTCTCCAGCATCTCCTGGAAGTTGGCTAGCTGGCCCTTGGTACGGTACACGTCGCTGCACGCAAGACGCGCGCACGGGACGGCATTCACCAAGCGTCGGAGCCTGGCCCGCACGCGCCGGAGCGCTTCTGCACGACCCTGGGTGGGCCGGGCTGGGCAGACCACGAGCGGAACAAGGGGGTACCCCTCCCACTCAGAGGGCTCGGCTGCGGCGGGGGGACCCGCCACCCCAGGCAGTCAGGAGGCAGGCGCTGTCCCCTTGAACCCTGCCCCGCAGGTTCCCTCCCGCTCCGAGGGACACTCACAAGAGGCGGGGCACTTGGACGAGCCAGCGCACGTTGGGAGAGTGTACTCGGTGCTTCACGGCCCAGCACGCCAGCTTGTCCCACTCGTCCCTCGAGCGCCCATAGATGGAGAGCCGCAGCTCTGCGTTCTGGTATTTGCTCTCCTCCAGGTCGGACATCACTTCCTGAAAGACATGCGGGGGCGGGGGTGGGGGCAACCATCACACCCACCCACCCGGCTCCCATGCGGTCAGGGAGAGGGCTGCTCAAGGCTCTTGCTACCCCTGCACATGGGCCTGGGCGGTCCCTCCTCCTCACCTTGATAATGTGGGCAAAGTACTTTCCAGAAACCCTGTTGTCGGTCTTGATGAAGATCTCTCGGAGGACAGACTCCCCAATGGGGTTGTACTTGGCATTGAACTTGTCAAAGCGATGGAAGGTGTTCCTGTCCTGGGGAAGATGGGCAGGCCCGGGTCACCCCTGCCCCTGGGCCACACACTGACCCAGCCCCTCAGCCCCTGTGCCAGCGGGACAGACCGCGTGCATGTCCAGCGTGTCCACACTCAGGTCGTAAGCAGTGAGATTCATGCTCTCAAAGACCTCCCGCAGCGTCTGCTCACGGCCCTGCTCCACGTGCACGATCTCCTCCAGGTGCCGCTTCATCGCGCGTTTGATGAAGCGCAGCAGGTGCTTCTGGTTCATGCAGGACGAGGCATGGATGTGTGTGTCCACCTGGGGTGCAACGGGGGGCCGCTGGGTTCCCTGGAGGCCAGTCCGCAAGGGAGGCCAGGCAGGGGCGCAGGGCTGGACACGTGGGGAGGGCCCACCTTCCGGATGTTGTAGAAATCTCGGTGTGGCACCTTCTTCTGGGCGGCCAGCTCCTTCATCTCATTGAGCAGCACGTGCATCTGGAACTTGGAGCTCAGGTACTGTAGGCGGCGGTAGCAGAAGGACTTTCTGGACAGGGAGAGAACAAGGCAGGGGCAATGAGCCACAAGCAGAGGGGGGAGGGGACAGGACTGAGGCGGCGGGGGGCGGAGACAGATGGAGGGAAAGGCTAGGTCTCGGTGACTGTGAAGGGGTGAGAGGTGGCGGTAGGTGTTTGCAGCAGGGCTGCAGCTGGGCAGTCTGGGCTGGAAGGGAGCTGAGTGTCTGGGCCAGGCAGGACTCACATGGGGCCGTTGATTATCAGGGCCATCAGCACATTGACATCCGCCACAAATTCCTGCAGGTCAGGGTACGGCAGCTCCACCTCCGGGCAACTGGCAGGTAAGAGGAGCTCAGGTGAGGTGCCCCGTGGGCCCTCCCAAGCTGGGGCAGCCCCCACACAGCTCTTCCCCGCCGCATTCCCCACACCCGCTTACTGCTCATCGGGTTCCCTGCGGGTGTAGACATGCACCACGCCCTGCACCATGCGCAGACCCAAGCCCAGGTCCCCAGGCATGGTGCTTGGCTCACAGTACTCATAGGGGTGCTGCTCCAGCGCAGGGGGGTGCACCGGGGCATCTGCAGGGTGGGGAGGGTGGAGTCAGGGCCAGGGCTCTTCCAGGC